CCGTCATTGTTGTTTGGCGGGTCCGGGCTGGATTTGAACCCTCCACCTTAGGTGTATGTGGCTAGCGCCTTAGCTGGTTGAGCTACAGGCGCCGAGCCTATAAAAAAAATCATTAATGAAATACTTTACCTTCTCTTTTTCATATTGAGTCTCCAAAACCTTGTGTGTACTTCACGTGTCAATTTGGACTAGCCACATTTCAAGGCCTCAGTAACCACATACAGCTGAACAGCTAGTAGCTACTTTATTAGCACAGGTTTAACTACTCCAGTTAAAAGGCAGAAATTGGCAAAGTGGGTAAGAAACAATAATTACAGGTTACATGCTACCTATGAGACATACTTTATTTTGCCTTTTAAAAAATTTTTCTTTTTGCAGATTTGGCCAGAGCCAGGCTTGAACAGGACACCCCCAATATATGGGGCCAGCGCCCTACTCCTTAAGCCACAGGCACCACCCAAGACATACTTTAAATAAATATCATAAATAAGTTGAAAGCAAATGAATGGTGAAAAAAACAGATCGTTCAAAGAATAAGGACAAGAAGGATAGAGTGGGTATTTTAGTTAGATTACAGAGACTTCTAAACCAAGTGACAAAGTGAGACCGTCTCAAAAAAAAAAAAAAAAGACACCATAGATTGAAATTCACTAATTCAAAATTTCAAAATCTAACATAGTGCAAAGTCCAAAACTTCTTGAGCACCAACATGACCCCAGAGGTGTAAAATTCCACTCCTGGCCTCATGTGACAGGTCAGAGTCAAAAGGAAGGAACACACCACACAGTCTATTCAGCATCCCCAAGGGACAAAATATCTTTCTGGCCCCCTGGGCTGTGATACATTTTTTTTTTTGAGACACACCTTACTCTAGCACCCTGAGTGGAGTATCTTAGCATCATAGCTCACAGTAACCTCAAGCTCTTGGGGTCAAGCAACCATCTTGCCTCTGTTTTTCTATTTTTAGTGGAGACAAGGTCTTATTCTTGCTCAGGCTGGTCTCAAACTCCTGAGCTCAAGCAATCCACTTGCCCTGGCCTCCTAGAGTGCTGGGATGACAGACATGAGCCACCACTCCTGGCCTAAAAAAATGTTTTAAAAAGCTGAAAAATGGGGTGGTGCCTGTGGCTCAGTGAGTAGGACGCCAGCCCCATATACCGAGGGTGATGGGTTCGAACCTGGCCCCAGCCAAACTGCAACAAAAAAATAGCCAGGAGTTGTGGCGGATGCCTGTAGTCCCAGTTACTCGGGAGGCTGAGGCAAGAGTGTCACCTAAGCCCTAGAGCTGGAGGTTGCTGTGAGCTTGTGAGCTATGATGCCATGGCACTTTACCGAGGGTGATAAATTAAGACTCTTGTCTTAAAAAAAAAAAAAATTGAAGGGAATTGTGAATATTCAACAGGCTGGTGGTGGAAACTTAAGAAAAGGTCAGGTAGGCTCAGCGCCTATACCAAAGTGGTTATGGTGCCAGCCACATTCACCAGAGCTGGCAGGTTCAAACCCAGCCCAGACCAGCTAAACAACAATTACAACTGCAACAAAAAACAGCCGCACATTCAGGCAGGCACCTCTAGTCCCAGCTACTTAGGAGGCTGAGGCAAGAGAATCGCTTAAGACCAAGAGTTTGAGGTTGCTGTGAGCTGTGACATCACAGCACTCTACCGAGAGCAACAACTTAAGGCTATGTCTCAAAAAAAAAAGAAAGAAAAGAAAAGGCAGGTAGCTCTCACCACTCGAGGTGACCAAGGTAGGAGGATCACTTGAAGCCAGGAGTTTAAGACCAGCCTGGACAAAAGAGGGAGACCTTGTCTCTACAAAAAATAAAAACAAAAAGATGAAGGCTTATCACAGTGTTTCACACCTATAATCCTCACACTCTGGGATGCCAAGGCAGGAGGATTCCTTGAGTCCAGTCTGAGATTAGCCCCCATCTCTACTGAAAATAGAAATATTAGCCAAGTGTGGTAGTGTGTGCCTATAGTCCTAGCTACTTAAGAGGCTGAAGCAGGGGCATTGCTTGAGCCCAGGAATTTGAGGCAATTGATGAATTCTGTTGTTTAATGGTGAAAATAAAGTTTTCTCAGTGAAGTTTACCAGTTAATATGCCTTCTTCAAAGACATTACCTTCTGGACAGAGTCCCAGTGCTTCATAAGTAAGGAGTTCATTGGAAGAAAAGCAGTCGTGAAGTTCTATTACATCAACATTACTTGGTCCCAAGCCAGATTTCTCATAGCATTTTTGGGCAGCAACTTTACTCATATCGAAGCCAACCTAAAACCAAAACCACATAGAAACAAATTAAGGGCACAAAAACTGGGTCTTTCAGATGAGGATTTTAAGAGAGTAAAGTATGCATAATCTTTGCCTTGTTTTTTTTTTTTTTTTTAATTTTCATGGAGACAGAGTTCTACCCTATGCCCTGAGCAGAATGCAATGGCGTCGTAGCTCACTGCAACCTCAGACTCAGGCTGTGGGCATCCTGCTGACTCAGCGTCTGAGGTTACTGGGATTACCGGCCCTTGCCAAAGGTGCCTGGCTGGGTTTTCAATTTTTTTTTCATGATTCGGGGTCTCACTCTCACTCAGACAAGCCTTGAACTCCTGAGCTCAAGCAATCCTCCCACCTCAGCCTCCCACAGTACTGGGATTACAGGCATGAGCCACCACATCCACCTAACGTATGCATAACCTTAACAGTGAAAATTAACCACACATATTAAAATCTCAGCTGATTCTACATTATGAAGAAAGTCCAAATAAAACACTATCCAGGTGGGAGAATGCACATACCCAATTTTATGCTAACCTCCGTCCCAGAGAATTTTAAATAAAATACATAATAAGGACGTAGACTTCCTCAGAGCACATCGTTTTTTTTTTTTTTTTTTTTT